CCCGAATTCTCGTTGTCTCCGACATCTTGCTTTGACGATTTATTGAGAGTCCCAACTTTTCCGGAGAATTTGTTGCTGAGATTTCTTCAGTTCTGGTGAGCGGTGGATCTAATTAATCGTTAATTTATTGATTGTAATAGAGATCGGGATCTCGTGAAATTAGCTTTCTTTTGGACAAACGGTTTTCGTCCATGGCGAATGACGCCATTAGATTTTTGGCTTTCGGATTTTGACGAGATCTGGTTTCTCGCTCAGCGGAGCATTATAACGGTTTCGGGAAAAATTCAGTGAACCTTTTATTTTATCAATTTACGTGTTTTCTGGAAATATTTATGTCGGAATCTTCCGATTGAAACTCAGTGTTTCAAATATTGGTTGTAAGTAACAACTCTCGTTTCGCATTCACTTTGGGAAAATTCGGATATCCAAAGTGGAATTCTCGGGGCGATGTTTCAGCCTCAAGGAATTTTCGCATTATCGCTGTTCGTATATTACTTTATTTATTTAATTTAGAATTTTGGCATTACCGAACAGTGTAGGAATTATCGACGTGATTTGGAATTACAGCGTCTTTGTCGATGCTTGATTTCCGTATTTTTGTATCGTGTAGCCGTGACCTTGCGTTAGGCAGATTCACCGGCTCTGGTAATTGTTATTAGTATTTCTCGTGGTAATCCGAATCGCGTCGTTTGAGAATCAGACTACAATTTTGAATTATTTATCTCGCAACAGTTTTCGTTGTTCTTCTTATCGATTCCTTTGTCGTGACATTAGACCTTACAGTAACCCGGTTAGTTACTTTATTTTCTTTGACTTCTTGATAGATTTTCCCATTTATTGACTTTCTTTACATTATCTTTGACTAGCATTTTATTAATTGACGGATGACGTTGAGGGAATTGATTTTATATCGAGTCCTTAGATCTGTGTATGAAATTTGTGATTTTCTGATTGTGATTTAGAGCATAACGGAAAGAGAAATAATTCGAAAATAACGGGGTTTAATTAATGAGATAACTGATTCACATTTTGTTTCTAGAAATTGATTAAATAATATTTCTCCCCGAAAGTCTGAATCTTCTTATCATTCATTAGTAATCAGGAACCCAGTCATTTCAGGGTAATTTTATTGAGAGCGGATTTTGTGGAACCCAGCCGCCTCCGCGGTTGATCTGAGCGGTCGGCGATCGCTCTCTCATCGTTGTTTGTTTGTCGTCTTCGATTTTGGTGAACGTTTCATACGTTCTGGCGCCCAACCTTTGGTTTGTCGTTTGGGTCGCTGAGGGCTGCGTATCTATTATCTTCCGCAGAGGTAAGAAATACGTCACAAGGTATAGAGAATAATTAAAAGGTAATTTTCATAATTTAAACTCTCAAATGATTGATTAGCTCCGCATTTTGAATTATCCCAGTGTTACTGGCAATTATGATAGTGACGATGTGTTCGAGAGACAGTCAGTAATGAGTCAGCCAAGTTTATTGAAGTATTTAAATTCAGTTATTAATGATTAGGTAATTATTTCGAGAGGGAAAACATCGACAATTTTTCGCTGTAATTTGGTGCAATTATTGTTGAACAATTTATTTCTGGCAGATCTCCAGGGTTCTATCGAGCAATGTCTGATGCAGGGAATTATCTAGATCCCAATGAAAGCTGGATCACCACAGACGTCGATTACAACAGCTTCATGACATCCAGCACCAAGAATATGGCTCGTCAAAGAAGTGGAGACTCACTGGATTAAATTAATAATTCACAACTGTAACATATTTTAATAATTGAATAATTTCTTTAGTTTAGTACATTTTTATTACTTTTGCGATTATCATTACGAATTATCAACAAAGCTCTCGATTTTGGGCTCAATTTAAAATTGAAACTGTGAACATTGAAGTAAAATTTGAAACCTCATAAATTATATCCACTAATCAAAATGGAAAATCAACAATGAAATCAAAATTCAATATTTCGTGACCAAATGAACAAATTCGGATGGCTTCCTCTCATTATAAAACTTGGAAAAATACTCTTAAAATGAAAAGAAAAATCGAATTTCACTCAGACTTATTTTTGTCATTTTGAACTCAATAAATTTCCATAACTAAACAATTATATTTAGTTCACTATTTTTTTAATTAATTCTATAAGATAATTATCTACACACAGCACCAATTTGTCCAGGTAGAGATGGCAGACGTCGACAACCAGCAGTTCATCGTCTACGCAGATTTGCCCCCCCCCCC